AGGGAAGAGGGGAGTTTTTCACAAGTTCTTCTAGAATAATAAATATGAATGCAAAATAGGGTAGAGAAAAAAAGAGGGAAGAGTCCTCTCAAATATTAAAATAAATTATTAAGTTATAGTAATTAAAAGTTTGATCCTGGCACATGATTAGACAGATCAATGGAACAGAATAGAAAGTCCAAGAATACACCAAAATACATGCAAGAAGAATTTCACATGTGATAGGGAACTAATTTGAAAGCGGTGCTTCCTTTACTGAAAATTTTTCTTCTGACCGTTGCTTACATAACTAACCTAGTAACACAGATACTAAGCAGTCATTAAATAAGAATGACATATCTATTATATATAAAGATGCTCAAGATTTATGTATTTATAGAACAATATGTATAGTATGATTCCATTTGCTTAAAAATGACTTTCATATGCATACATATAATACATACACATATACATACATAATACATATCAAGATACCTACCATAATAGGTGAACAAATTTTCATAAAAAGCATTCAAGAAACTATAAACATTGCTTAACTCTTGGGAATTGGTAAAGAGAGATTTCCTTACATCCCTCTGAATGATTTCATTTTACCAAAAGGAGGTAATAATACAATATTTACAATAATACAGTAATGTTTACAACAATATTTACAATGATGTATTCACAATAATCATAATGATGATGATGCTATAATTAGGCTTTAAATTAAGTACATAGTAATCATAGTAATGATTCCAGCTTTCGAAAATTTAAATTAAAGCCTAACTGATGGCATTAAATTTAGAAACCTTCATACTAATTAAAAGACGTTCTTATGCAACACTCAATTACCCTAACAGGTTTTTTTTCAAATGTAATTACTTCAGACAGAAAATCTTTGTTTACCCCATCACCCTTTAGAGATACATAGGATCTGAGCTCTGAATACCAAGCTGTAAAATAAAATTTAAGACTTAAGAAATAGGCAAAAGATAAGCAAAAGTAACACAATTATGACACAAAAAATACCCATACTCACTGAAGCAATTTTAAGTGTTCTAAAATCTTTTTTATTTAAAAACGTGTTCATTTCATAATAAAGTTGCAGTAAGATGAATGGTCCCACAATTCTCAAAGTGTGCTACAGGAACCCAACACCCTTTCAAGGTGTTCGAGAGATAAAATTACGCATTGTTAAAAGATCCATTCAAAGTGCTAGATATACAACGGATTTTACCGTAAAAAAACTACAAAAAAATTCATTGATATGGTTTCAGATTCCATATTGCAACTAACCTTTACAAAACTCCCACTTCTTGAGTTTCAGTGTCCTATCAAAGAACATCCACAGTTATAAGGAGAGGCTTCTAAAATATACCCCCTTTTCCAACTACATCTGAGTGGCACCAGCTATTTTTCACATACTTTAGCCAAAGTAACATATCGCAACAACTTCAAAGCAGAAGCCTATATGACAGTCTGGCTGTCTTCTAGTAAGTCAGACGCTAATGAGATTTGAAAATGTAAAACATTGCCACACTTCTCACTATCTGCTTTGGAAAATACAGGTTTTTTTCTTTCATTAAAAAAAAAAGTGTTATTTATGTTAACCTGTAATTGGTATTGTTATTTTTATTTTATTTATTTATTTATTTTTCCCTTTTTTTTGTGACCAGTAAGGGGATCGTAGCCCTTGGCTTGGTGTCGCCCGCACCGCGCTCAGCCAGTGAGCGCACCAGCCAGTCCTATACAGGATCCAAACCCGCGGCGGGAGCGCCGCTGCACTCCCAGCGCCCCACTCTCCTAAGTGAGCCACGGGGTCGGCCTGGTATTGTTATTTTTAAATAAATGCTACTTAAATTTTTTTTTTTTTAGTTTTAGTTTCTAGTACAATAAATAGCAATACATAAAACCTGCATAAGCAAAAGATCTTTGGGGTTCTTAACAATTTTAAGGGTGGAAAGGTGTTCTGAAACCAAAAATTTTGAGAACCATCATCATCAAAGATCTATCCTATGGACCAAAAGGCAAAAAAAGGTGAAAGCAATTTGTTTACAACTAGAATGAGTGAACATGGAGAAGGAGGTAAAATGTTACTGATACTAAATTTACTTTCAGATAGAATTTAATGCTATTTAAAAGAAATGAGAAAAAAATGTATTTATAGAGTCTTTTATATTAACCCACATATTGACATTTCCAGTGCTCTTCATTTCTTCCTGCGGATTTGAGTTACCATCTGGTGTCATTTTCTCTCAACCTAAAGAACTTCTTTTAGTACCTCTTATAAGACAGGTCTGCTAGCTACAAATTCTCTTTGTGACGGAATGTAGTTATTTCATCTTCATTTTTGAAGGGTAGTTTTGCTAAACACAGAATTTTTCACAGACAGTTTTTTCTTTCAGAACTTTGGATAAGGCATCCCACTGCCTTCCACTGATTCTGATAAGAAAGCAGCCAATAATCATATTTATGCTCCTCTCTATGTAAGGAGTGTTTTCCTCTTGCTGCTTTCACAATACAGCCGTCCTTCGGTACCTGCGGGGGCTTGATTCTAATATCCCTTGTGGAAATCCACCAATGCTCAAATCCTCCTATAAAATGGTGTAGTATTTGCATATAACCTACACATATCCTCCTGTAATACTTTAAATAATCTCTAGATTACTTATAATACCTAATGCAATGTAAATGCTATGTAAATGGCTGTTATACTGTATTTTTTACTTGTAATATTTTTTATTGTTGCTTTTTACCTTTTTTATCAAATATTTTTGATCCACCACTGGTTGAATCCAGGGATGCAGAACCCCCAGGGGAGGCCAACTGTATTCTCTTTGTTTTTTAAGCGTTTGAATATGCTATATCCAGGTTGGTTCTCGTATTAATCTTAGTGAGGTTCACTGAGCTTCTGGATGTGTAGTGCCATGTATTTTCACCAAACTTGGAAAATTTTCTGAAAGGCCATTTTTCTGCACCTTTCTCCTCTGCGGACTCCAATTACACATCTATTGTACACTTGATGTTTTCCACAAATGTCTGAGGCTCTGTTCATTTGTCTTCACTTTTCTCTTTTTCAGACTGAATAATTTCTATTGCTTTTTTATGAAGCTCACTGATATCTTTTACTGTCATCTCAAATCTGCTGTTGAGTCCCACTAGTGAATTTTTCATTTCAGGTATTATATTCTTCAACTCTAGAATTTCCATTTGATTTTTTAAAACTTTTTACCTTAAAATAAATTTTGATTGCTTACCAAAAAGCTGCAAAGATAGTACAGAGAGTTCCTGTATATGCTTCCTTAATGTTAGTATCTCCCTCTAACATTAATATCTTACACAACCATGTTATACTCATATAACATATAGATATGTATATACATATACAAATACATAGACAAAGGTACTTCAAAAAGTTCATGGAACAATTAGTATTATCGTTCAATTCTATTTTTCCACAAACTTTTTGAAGTACCCTCATCCATAAGTATGTACATATATATATACCTAATACTGTAAATACCTTACATAACCATGGTACATTTACCAAAAGTAAGAAATTACCATTGGTGCAACACCATAAACTAAAATATACACTTTAATTAGATTCTGCCAATTTTCCCACTAATGTCCTTTTACTGTTTCACAATACAATACAGAATGTCACAATGCATTTGGAAATCATGTCTCTTTGTTCTCCTCTGATTGGTAACGATTTCCCAATTTTTCCTTGTTTTTTGTGGCCTTGACAGTTTTGAAGGGCGCTGGTCAGGTGCTCTTGTAGAATGAACTCTGAGTTTGGCTCTATCTGTTGTTTTCTCATGATTAGACTCAGGTTATAGGTATTGGGGAAGAAAACTATAGAGGTGAAGTGTCCTCTCATCACATATCAGAGTTTTTTTGTTGTTATTTTAATTTTTTAAGTACTTTCTATATCCTTATTGAGAATCTCAATTCGTTGACTTGTTATACAAGAGTACTTCAAAAAGTTCACGGAAAGATTCATATTGTCTCTTAATTCTATTTGTCCACAAACTTTCTGAAGTACTTATACTTCCCTTTGATAATGTAAATGTGGTTTCCTCTAGTTCTTTTAACATATTTATAATAGTTGAAGTCTTTACTAAATCCGATACTCAGGGACATTCAGAGACAATTCCCATTGACTGCTTTTTTTCCTATGTATGGGTCACAATTTATTTTTTTACATGTCTTGTAATTTTGCTGTTGTTGTTAAACCTAGGGATTTTAGATAATGTAGCAACTCTGGATTCTGATTTTTTCCCCCCATTAAAGGTACTATTGCTGTTTTGTTTCCTTCATTTTTTGTCCAGTATCATGCCCAGGATAAACATGTGGAATCTTTCTCCTCTGTGGTCATCACTAATATCTCTGCACAGTTGTTTTTAATATACTCTTCTTTTTATTTTTAAGCCTAGCTTCCCAGGGGTTGCCCCTTTGCATGACTTGGCACAAGTTGAGTATCCCTTATCCAAAATGCTGTGACAGAAGTGTTTTGGGTTTGGGGTTTTTTCAAATTTTGAAATATTTACAGAATATACACTGGATGAGCATTCTTAATCCAAAAATCCAAAATCAGAAATACTCCAATAAGCACTTCCTTTGAGTGTCATGTCAGCACAAAAATGTTTTGAATTTTGGACGATTTTGGACTTCACATTTTTGAATTAGGGATTCTCAACCTGTAGCAACTCTGAGATTGGACAGGGGTTATGCTGAAATACCTTGAGCCAGTAAAGCTTCCATCTCTGCCAACAGATGTGTGTGTGGGTAGAAGAGTGCACTCAAAGTTCAGTCTTTGAAACTTTCAAGTCTCCTGGGTGCATGCATGCAACTGCAGGGTTAGCCAAAAGCATGTGAATACCTCGGGCCTCCTGAGGTCTTTCCTGTGCATGTGTACCACCTCAACCAGAAATACACTTGCCCCAAATACTACCAAAACTTCAAGATCTGAACTGAGCCACTAGCCCTTCCTCACACCTCTGAAAACTCACATTCACTGACAATGCCACTCCAAAGAGCTGAGCCTTCAAAATGAGGTCCTTATGGCCTGCTTTCCCTGGCAGAGCCTCCATGCCAACCAAACTGGGACAGAGTGGGGTGGAATGTGAACAGCCTCAAGCAAGAATGCCAGATTCAAGCAATGAAATGGTTGCTTTAGAAAACATAGAAATAAAAATTCTATAAAAATGTTCATATTGTTTGGACCAATAATCCCACTTCTATAAAAACCATCCTTAAGGAAATAACCCAAATTATGGAGAAAGCTATGCTTAGCATGTTCTTAGAATGTTATTTCTAACAGCAAAACATTTAAAGCAATGTAAATATTCAACAAAGCTGAGTATTAGTTTTACTATGGTACACACATCTGACAAGTTACATAAACCTTAAAAGGTTAAAATCATAAAAATTATCCCACCATAAGCTTCCTCATAGTTCTTCCCTTTGACAAACGTTGCTAAAACCAATTTATTCAAGTTGTGGCAGACTACTAGTTGTCCCCCAAAATCTATTCTCAAATTCTTCCTGAGCATATAACCAGCCACACAGGCTCCATTTCCCAGCCTCCTTTACAGCTAGGTATAGCCATGTGACTAAATTCTCAGCAATACAATGTGAATGAAAGAGAGCACAACTTCCTGCTCACCCCTCAATGGTAAACTGTCCTGAACTTACTCTCTTTCCCCTTCCCACAGGCTGGAGTGTGAATAAGTAGCAACTCAGACAACCATGACAAGTGGATCTCTGAATTAATTCATGGAAGAGAATTGCTTCACCAGCCTACATGTATTTGCAAACTATTAAGTGACAGCCAAATAAAATGTTATTTTATAAAGAGTAATATTACAAATCCATATTTTAAAAAGTATTGCATTCCAAAAAGCTAAAAAATTCAATATATCCAATGACTACAACTATCTTAAAATATGTATATAAACATATCAAATACATAAAAATAATGTTATGATAGTAAAATTAATTCTTTACCAAACTTTCAATAATATTGTTTAAATTACTTTGATAATTTTAAAAACAGAAATTGTTGATTTAAACAACTAAGTCTGAAATTCTTAAAACAGTGAAAAACTCTCAAAACAAATTTAAGAAACTTTTATCTTGACCACTTTCATAATGGTATAGAACATGAATCCTCTGGCCAATGTTCCAAACCCAAAGCGCTTGGTCTGTAATTCAGCCATTTGCGTTCTTTAATAAATGAAGAATTATCTTCTCATGTTCCTCAAGAGCACCAGCTAGCAGCCTTAACCAAATAAGACTAACTACATATAACTAAATTAAAAAAAAAAAAAACAGTTTGCCTTATCTTTTGCATATGTATTTTTTAGAGAAAACAATGCCTCAATGCAAGGATATGTATCAGAACCTGACTCAAAAAGAAACTTTATGCCTTTTCTCACCCAGCAATTTCCCTCAATCCAGAAATCTGTCTAAAGAAGGATAAAAGCTGGTCTCACCGTGAAGAACACAGCTTCTCATAAAACAGCAATTTAAGGTTAAAGTTCCCTCCTCCCAAAACCAAGGCCTAAAACAGCCCAACCCAAAGAAAGTAAAATAAAGCTAAAAAACTTTGCTGTTCTCCCATATTTGAAACTGTATATTTGTATCTCTACAAAAATACAGCCAATTATAAAGTATCTTGATATCTCCAAGTGCCCTAGTAATCAAATCTATGGTTTGAAGAGGGGGAAATGTACATAACCCCATAATACAATACTACAAATTTGTTTAATTATAGATAGAAAAAAGGTATCCCTGACTCCCTAACAATATCTAACAAAAAATGTCATTATTTCTAGAGGTGTGCTGTCCAATGAGAATCACTAGCCACTTGTGGCTACAGAGTACTTGAAATGGTGTTAGTCAGAATTGAGATGTCCTCAAAGGGTAACACATACACACCAGGTTTTGAAGACTTAGTATACAAAAACTGTAAAATACACCATTAATATCTTTGTAATATTGATTACATGTTAAATTAATAATGTTTTTGGTATAGTGGTTAAATAAAATATATTTAGTTTTACCTGGTTCATTTTACTTTCTAAAATGTAGCTACAAGAAAATTTAAAATTACTTATGTACCTCACACTGTATTTCTACTGGACATCAATGGTGTTATACCTGAATGAGCTGATCCAGTTTCTAACACGCACAATTTTATAAACATTTCCTTTTGGTTTATAATTTTCTAGTTCCATACTTTTATGCTGAAAACAAAGAGGGTATATGGACCGGGAATTATGTTCTACAGATTACTAAGGATAAGGGCTGCCTCTAGTCATCTGGTTACTTAAGGATGGGGTCCAACCTATTATGATAACCAAGGCCCCAGGAGAAACCCAGAGATCTTTTATAAAGACTTCAAGGGTTGCAAATCTGCCCCTCATTCTGACCATGTCATATATCTGCTTTGTACAAGGAAATCTGAATGTTAATATCACTTCAAAAGGCTCTCCAGAAATCTTTTAATCATCACCCTAAGAATTAATAGTGGCTGTCTTGAGATGGCATATACTACTTTAAAACAGAAATGACTGAATGTCACAGCAAGGCATGGGGTGACATTGTGGGAAGAGGGTAGGGCAGAGAGCTGGACTCTCAGTAGAATTAGATCACTGACAGGACTTGATAAAGGTGTGATGCACTTTCTCCATTTGCTGAATACCTACTTTATGTCAAGCATTGGGCTGAACAGAGCTAAGTAAACAGTGTCCACTCTTAAGGAGCTCTCAATCTAATCAAACATACTGAAGTCAGGACAGACAGTGGACAAGGACAGCTGTGCTAAGGGTTAATCCTTGACTGTAACCTTCAGAACTGAAACCAGAGGTGGTTAATAAAGTAAGTCATGGGCCGGCCTGGTGGCGCACTGGAGAGTGCGCCGCTTGGGAGTGTGGCGGCGCTCCCGCCGAGGGTTCGGATCCCATGTGGAGACCGGTTCCCGCTCACTGGCTGAGCGCGGTGCAGGCGCAACACCGAGGGTTGCGATCCCGTTGCCGGTTCCCGGTACAGGTGCAACACCGAGGGTTGCGATCCCGTTACCGGTCAGTAAAAAAAGACAAAAAGGAATAAATAAATAAATAAATAAATAAATAAAAATAAAGTAAGTCATTAAAAAAAAACTGAGGATAACTGGACTCAGGAGACAAGGAAGGATATGGACAAATGGGAATACAGGTATTCAAAGGAGTAAGATCAGCGGACTCCAAGAACCCTTTGAAAATGTACAGTTCTACATGGGCTTT